TTGGTTCTAGTTCAATTGGTCTGATCCGCCTGCGGGCGGTGCAAACTACAGGGTCTTGCGCCTTGCGCCGCCTGCGCAAACGCTCTCTGCTTGTACCCAAGCGAGGCGGCGACGGCGAGCGCGCGTGGGCCTCCGGTTCGCGAACCTGGCACCGTCGAGTAGGCCTACGCCGCTGCATGTCGGATCTTCGTGGTCAACCACCCGAGCATTGGTCGCGTTTTGCCGTCAAGTTACTGACAATTTGCATTTTTGCTAATTGAGCGCTCTCGCTGTACTGATCTTCTTCGTTTCCTTGATAATAATTACGAGTTCAACAAACAGGAAATTAATAATTTGAGTCTTGCAAAAGTTGTTCAGCACTGTTGGTACAATTACATACATCAAAGTATTTTATGGCTTGGGTAAGAACATACGCTGCTATACTACTTTTTCCAGCTTCAATTGAAATAGTAAGTGGTGCCTAAATTATCTCTCCTATCTGAGCAACACTTTAGCTTTGGAAGAAATAAAGGGGATAGGGATAGGAATAGAGAAATATTGTATCATAGCCATCTATTCTTTATACCTCATTTAATCCTACCCATTTATTCATTTCTCTTTCCCTATCCCACCCCCTATATTTCAATATCCAAACGGCACCTTAGTGATTTGTGGATTGGGGATGGATGGGACAGCTTAGGTCATGGTGGCGCACTTGCTTTGGCTACGACCAAGCTCAGTAGTCAGCCTCAGCAGGAAGACGACCGACCTCCCACAGGACAGAGAGTGGATCCAAATCACCTATTTGGTGTGAATCTGCTTCGTCGGATGGGCGTGTTGCATGGTGGCTTGAGCCAGGCAACTGCAGCCGGACATTACCCATCCTTGGCGCCGGCGGCGGTCACGATCTGCGCAAACCTTGTCCATGGTGACTTGATCGACGTGGCCAACATTGTCTCCAGTGTGTATATACGCACTAGATATCAGTCGCCACGGTCCACTGAATGCTTCTCACTTCGGAGAGAGCCGCCCCATCCCATTAACAAAATCGACGATGATAGTTGCTCAACTTTGCTCTTCCGTATTCACCACGTAGACACGTGTCTGTATTGGATTCGGCCAGTGGCTGATCTAGGACTGAAATCCACCTATGGCGAAGCTATCACTGTAGGTGAAGAGCTTGACATCTCATAGGGGATGCTGTCCACTGACATGCGCACTTAATCTACAACTCCTCCCCCGTTCAGAGGAGAATACAATTATAGCATAGTACGAAGTCAAATCATATTGAGTTTGGTCAAGTTTATACAAAAATTATCAATATTTTTATACCAGATAAAGGTCATTAGATTAGGAATGAGGTATATCTATACCTATTTTGTGTTATAAATATCAGTATATTTTTTTATAAACTTAGTGAAACTTTAGAAAATTCGACTAGACGGAGCTACAATGTCGTCCATTTCCGGGCATAGATGGTTGCATAGCTTCTTAAGAAGCATTGTAAAAATGAATCATGGATATGGTGTTAGGGGCAACGATGTGAAATGAAACTATTCATTGAAATATAAGTGCAAAATCTCTAGTCAGTGCAATAGCAAAATATATACTGTGATGTTATCAATGTATACTAGTACTAGCAGTAGACAATTTCATTTAGATTTTGCCCTGCAACGACCCACAAGACCAATGTACGTGAGCGCAGAGCACACTTGTGCTTTTTGCCTCATGGATATCCTGTCATGACCAATGGGAAGAGAGCGTTTTACATTTGCATGGTCCAGCCAGCTAGCAGGTCTGGCGGCCGCCAGACCTTGCCAGACTGGTGGATCCGCCCTTGGATTCGGCTCTGATCTAAAAATGTTGAGTTCCAGTTTGATTTTTGGTATAAAGTATTCTGCTTTCGTCTCTAATTAATTAACAGTTGTTAAACGATTATTTGGCCGATGTAATTTTTTTGTATGGATGAGTTGAGCGGCATGAGATCTTGACCACATATTATTATATATAGTTTGGTAGGGTTTTTCTTTAGGATTTAGAAGCCGTCAGATGATTCATGCCACTATGCCAGAATGCATAAGCGATGGAGACTACCAGAGAAGAATCAGCAGATTGGTTACCCAAACATCATTTTACACGGGAACATTGGGTTTTGTTGTGCCCAAGAAATTACCACTGGAATACATCTACAGAATGCATATACTCGAAGCTTTTATTATTATTTTTATTATTTTGAGAGGAAGCTTGTAGCTATTCGTTTATTATTGTACCTGTACTCTAGGCATGTGTGTATGACCATGGCGGAAACAACGTGAACGTCAACGCCAACGCCGCGTGGGGCGTTGGACCTTGGTGCACGGGAACTTGAATTGATGACAATGGAGCACGTGGCGATCGGATCCAACGGTGCCGTACCTTGCATTTTCACGGGGAGTATACTCCCTGTCCTAAGATACAAGCCATTCTCGCTTCAGAAATCATTTTTTTTAATTTTTGACCAATTATATATAGAGAATATTAATATTTATAATACATACTAATTAGTATCATTAGATATTGGTGAATATGCTTTTAAATTAAATTTATTTGAAGCTATAAATGTTGCACGTAATTTCTATAAAGTTAATTAAAATTAAAAAAGTTTGACATGCACATATCTCATAACAACTCTCTCTGGGACTGAGGGAACATATGTCATGGACTCATGGGCTGCCCTACGCCCACGTGAACGTCAACGCCACGTGGGTCGTTGGTAGGGTGCACGACTGCACGGGAACTCGAATCGATGACAATGGAGCACGTGGCGATCAGATCCAACTGAATTGTTATGACAATGGAGCACTCTGGCAATAATCACCGTTAATCATCCGAATATAATCTAATCACCGTTTGCAACCCATCAGCCGAACACGCCTGTCTGTCATGGGCTGCCCTACCCCGACGGTGCCTATATGTCGGTTTTCCCAAGGGAACCAGGGAACGCGCTTGACTCGTCGTCACCGGAACATGCACACGGACGAACGCCTCCGCGTTTTATCAGACGACGAAGCACTCACTATAGCTGTTTCTGCAGGATCATCTTTTACACCCTGCAAAACACCAACTGGTGAGACGTGGACGCGCTTGCAGCCACCGTGATGTGTTTTTTTACAAGAAAAATTCATAAATTAACATCTTACAGATAGGATGTCATACCATTCCCATAATACATGACTCAGATAGATAGATCCTGACTAGACAAGAAACATACAGCCTGTTCGTTTCGGTTGAATTGGCTTATAAGTCATAGCTGAAAGTATCGCTGGCTGGTTTAATATGAGAGAAAAATATTGTTCAAGCCGTGGATTATAAGCCAAATACGAGCAAATAAGCCGAAACAAACAGGCTGATAATGTTAAGGATTACTACAGATAGGTGACACCTCAGTAGCTAAAGAGTGAACAGTTACATCTGAAGATCTCATTATCTTGTAAATTCCATGATTGATGCCTGAGTTACACTGCTTCGACATAGAAGTGTACTCTTTAAGTTGCTCTGAAGAGAAAAGGAGCGAGTAGAAGCTAAAAAAGGTGAAAGAAGCATAAAACTCCTCGGTAGCGTTTTTTTTTTTTTGGTGGGGGAGAATAAACATGGAACGCATCATATATACGAGTGAAAAAAAAGGTGTGAACTGCGAGGACTCGTAGCGCTCGACCAACGTGGAAAACGACAGCAAGCTTTGCTCAACAGGCAGAGGGCTTAGTAACAGTATGCACGTGATCCCCATCCACTGCCACTGGCTGAAACGGCGACCCTATCCGCAAGACACGGAGCGGATCAGCGGATCCGTGTCCACGCGTGTGGACGCTGACACCACCCGCGTGTTTTCCATGTACCTCATATGTCATGTCCTCACCCCACATGCCTCTGGGAGCTGACATTACTTATTTACTTCATCAAGTTCCTTCCAGACGAACCGACCTCGCTACCATATTTTTAGTCCAAAAAGACCAAACCTCAGCATTCCTTGGGCTTTTTACTTCCAAACTGAAACCTTCATCCCATTCAGAGTCCAACAAGCTTAGCTCTGCGATAGCAAAACAGACAGTGCAGCTATCAGTAACATTACTTATTATTTGGGGGAAAACCGACAGAGTTTAAAATCTGTTGTCACCATCCTACCAATCTCACAAGAACGCAGGATGCTTATGGTCATGGAGGTACACAGACCCAACCCGATTTCTGTTACAGGCCTTTATGAGATTACTAATAATAGTTGATGGCTGATGCACACAGGGCAGCAATAAATACAAACGCTACACCACAAATTTGATCCGATCCAAACAGTACATCTTGTGCGTGGCAAAAAAAAAAGATACAGATTTATTATTTATTTTCGGACCCACAGGGCTATCAACCAGTCTCTTCCAGAAAATGGTTTCAGCGAAACCATGTGCTGGAGGTGATACAGTATTTTCCTCTTACAACAAAACAGCATCAGCCGGCTTATAAGCCACAAAGACGATCAAGCGAACAGGGTGAATCACAAGGTCCATGACTCGAGCAACAAGCAAGGCCTGCTCTACTCTGCTCTGCTGAAGTGTAGTAAGAGACAAGGGTTGCTAAAGATGATGCAAGAGATTAAATGGATGAATGCTGCAATAAAATAGTATGGAGTGATGGCATGCTTTTTCAGATCCGAAGATAGGGAGAGAGAAAAAAATAAAGGCTATTGTTAACTCGCCGCCTTCTTTCCCGATGCAGGGAGGGGCTGGTGATGAGTCAGAAAGCTGATAAGCCCACATGCTGCATCCATAGACGGCCTTGGGACCTTGCTAAAAATTGACTCGCAAAAGAACAAGCAACAAGAGACCCAAAGGGTTTCTTGCGAGTACCCCTCATGATGCATATCCAACTATATAAGAGGGCCCTTGCTCAATCACTGAGCAAGCCCGCACTCATTGAAGAGCCACGCACTCACGCACACAGTGTCATAGAGCGATCAGGGGAGAGGTGAAGAGGAAGCAGGGCAGGCAGCAGGCATGGAGCCTCATCACGCAAACAAGGTATGCACTGCTGCCTAACCGCCTCCTAGTCAAGATGGGTTCGAGCTGTAAAACCTTTGGCAGGACAAATCGACCGAAAGCCTGGATATAACATCTTATCCAAGACGGCAAGACCTACTACCTTGCCAAAAAATCTGCCGGGGGTCCAGAAATTTTCCTGATGATTGATGATGTAGGATTCCTGCATTACTGTCTTCAGGCTTTATCCAGATTATCCAGATGGATGCATAGGTTTTCCTGCAATAGCATTCAGACAAAACACGCTATCATCTCTGCATATGAACATCAGCTCTGTAGAAACACAGAATTGAATCAAAGTATTTTCTTCCTGTTCGTGAAAGCAATCAAACATAGAAATCCCGGTTCTTAAAAGGCAGAAATTCTGATAGAGACATCAAAATTGGACCTTTTTCACTTACGAACAGGTCTTACTGTTAACCATTCTGCATCTACAAATAAAACCTTAAAACGACTTGTGCTAACCTGAGTTATCTTGTTCATCTGCTGTGAAGCCAAAGCCAAAGCTCAGCATGAAGCATTCCAAGTTCATCTCCTGCAAGCTCTACATTTCTGAAAGCCGCAATGCTATGGCTGTGGACGCAATCGAGCGTGCAAGCAAGAGTGATGCTCAAGTTGTTGTCGTCAGCCAGTTTGGGGATAATCACTACAACCGTTTCCGCTATACACTTGTCTCCTACATCATCGACGACAGATCAACTGGAGAAGTGATATATAGTCCAATCAGGAAGGTGTTGCTAGCAATGATTGAGGCTGCATTTTCAACCATAGACCTTGAATCACAGTCAGGAGCGCATCCAAGGATTGGTGTCGTCGATGACCTGTCTTTCCACCCCTTGGGTCAAGCCACAATGGAGGATGCTGCTTCTTTGGCTAAGCAGGTAGCATCTGACATTGGAAATGGCTTACAAGGTATGTCCAATGTGTTAGGCTTCCAAAAATTAGCTCTTCAACTATTTTAATCTTCCTCAACGAATTATATGTTTGCAGTCCCAGTATTCCTGTATGCGGCAGCCCACCCAACAGGAAAGTCTGCGGGTGCAATACGGCGTGAACTTGGCTACTACCGGCCAAATTACAAGGACAATCAGTGGTTAGGTAGCATGCTCCCTGATGTTCTGCCAGTTAAGCCTGATGTTGGTCCAACTCATGTCTCACATAAGAGAGGTGCCACAACAGTTGGTGTTACACCTTGGATTGAGAACTACAATGTCCCGGTACTGTCTAAGGACGTCGCAACTGTGAGGAGGATTACCCGCAGGGTGAGTGGACGGGGTGGAGGGCTTCCCACGGTGCAAGCTCTTGCACTCTTCCATGGAGATGATTGCACAGAGATTGCATGCTTGTTGGATCCAGATCATGTCAGTGCCTATCAAGTTCAGACCGTGGTGGAGCAGATTGCAGGAGAGCAAGGACTTGAAGTTGAGCAGGGGTACTCCACTGACATAACAAAGGATGCAATGCTCGATAAGTATTTGAAGATTACTTGTGCTGATGATTGATAAAGCCTGTATAGACTTTATGTGGCTGACATGCTTGTAACCATGAATGTCTGGAGTGGGCATCCATTGCTGTTTAGTTGTCAATTGCCATCTCAACCTGAATGAAGAACTGATTCTATTTTATACTTTGTGCACAAAATTTCAATAAATTGAGTACTAGAAACAATACAGATTACCAAATCAAACTATAGGAAGTTATTATTTTCTAATATTACAAGCAAAACAAGCAAATCAAAATAATCTCAATCTATTGATGGCCTGCTGTTAACTGATAAGGACAAATGGACATAGATTGTACTATGCTAGTTAGTAGCACAATAAAGACAAATTCTTGGAATTGATGAGGCTCAACACACAGTACTGGGATGAGAACTTTGTAAAATGGAAACACCGTATTAGTTAACATGAGTTTGTGGATATCGAGATAAAACTTAATTTATTGTTATATGACAATGGCTTCATCTTTTATGCCTCATTGTGTAAGAGGCAAAGGTTGCTGAAGATGATGCAAGAGATTTGATGGATGGATGGATGGTGCTGCTCAACAGGCAATAACATAATACCATGTTCTTCAAAATAGTATTTGAGTGATGCCATGCGTTTTTGGATATCAAGACAAAACAATTGTTAACTCGCTGCCTTGCTTCACAATGCAGGGAGGGCCTGATGACGAGTCAGAAAGCTGAAAAGCACATGCTGGATCCTTACATGGCCTCGGGATCTTGCTAACTTGACTCGCAAAAAAACAAGTAACAAGGGGCCAAAAGGGTTTCTTGCAGGTACCTCTCATGATGCATATCCCGATTCCCGCTATAAGAGGGCCCCTTGCTCAATCACTGAGCAAGTGCACATTCGTTGAAGAATGAAGAACCACACACACACAGTCAGAGGGGAGGCAAAGGGAGAGGGGGGAGAGGACGAAATGGAGCCCAATCACTCAAACAAGGTATCCTTTGATACCTAGTCCCCTTTTTTCAGGATGACTTCAAGCTAAAGGTATGGGTAGAAAAAATGATACAGCATTCGAAGCCCACCTCGACTTCCTGATCCTTTGACCTACCTCAAGAAAATCTGCTGATATATGCTCACCTGGTCGCAAATTTCCTGTTGCTGTGCTGCCTGCATTATCATCTTCAAACGCAATCCAAATTATTCAGGCTGATGCATCATTCTATTTCTTCCTGCAATAACACCTACAATTTAGTACAGGATCACAAAAACAGAGTAATTCATCTTAAGCTCATACATCAGCTCTGTAGAAACATTGAATCAAAACTGAAGAATCAGCCTGAAGCTCTCATTCTTGTCTGGCCAAGTAATCAAACACTGATATCACAACGAAGTCTGGTCCTCAAGAAGCTGCCTTTGATAGGGGCAGTAAATTACTATTACCTTTTACCACTTCACTGCAACTTATTACTTATGAATATGTTTGTCATATTAAACTGACTTTGATAGCACAATTTCGTCTATTTTTCCTTTCCTTTCCTTTATTTCTAATTTGTTTTTCAGAGGCCGCCATTTGTGATTAGTTTATGCCACAAACTGTGTTCCCTGATTGTATCACTTTCTGTCGTGCAAAGATGCGATTAGTAAGCAAGGTAAAAACGGTATGGACATACAAATATTGTGACTGTGTTGGTGTCAACTTACTCCAAGAAAGCTGTTGAGTGTGATCTCGTCCACGCCTGTCCTTGGAAACCATTCAATGTCAAGCATGGACTGCTTTAGCGCGTTGCCCTGCAAAAAATGACAAATGTTATATCACTATATGTTGTGCATTTATGGTAATTATAGTGATTGAAGTACACAAATGTTTAAAGATCATTTACCACTCGGTCCAAGACAGGTGCAGCCTCGACAATTGTCCCTTGTCACGTCGCAAGGTCGTAGGACGTGTCTTCGTCATCCGAAGATTCAATGTCGGTGTAGTCGGCTTGGGTCCATTGAGTCTTCAACCTGGTCCGTGTGACACCACGGTACCAAGATAGGTATGCGCGGAAGTTGTAGTTGGTGTGCAGCCGGTCGTTTTCATACAGGTTGTCATGGAAAAGGTCCCACAGATCCATGTGCTGACGGTGCAGCGTCTCAAACTCAACCGTCTTGTTCTGTTTCTGACGATCAATCCTGAAAATGTTCATTCCTTGTGATATACAATTTCAGGAAAAAATAACATGTCCTGCCACTTACATTTGCATGAAACAATTGGTGATTTAATAATAAACTTGACAACTAGATCAACTATTTATCTAAGTGGCATGACCAGTTCATTTGGTAATATTTTCAACTAATACATCTAGTCAATGGTCTAAATGGCATCAATAAATCATTTGGTCACATACTAAACTAATATCTCAAATAATCATATTGGTCTAAAAGGCATCAATAAATCATTTGATCATACACTAAACTAATATCTCAAATAGTCGTACGGGTGTACATGGCATGTAATGACACTTACATGTGCAACTCCACAGATGTTGAGAATGGCTCGACTGGCCACTCCTGACTCAAGCCAAACTGGCGTGCAACTCTGTGTGGAAGGTGATACTAAACAGCGTAGAAGCAGATCAGCGGGCACCTCATCATGTACAGGTCTTCGTCCGCGCTGCACATGGTGCTTACTCCAAGCTGCACCACCTGTATGTCCTTGTACAGCTCCCAAGTAACCTGCAAAAGTAAGCCATCGAGGGCGTAAGTTCGAACAACTCCCAAGTTACGTAATAGACAATAACAAAATGCAATTAACCTGATTGTATATCAATTTCTTCCAAGGCATCCCACAACTGTAGGTATTCAATTAGCATTTCAACAGACAAACATCCTTATATATATCCCTGATCCAACTTTAGTCTTCTAGGGCTTGGACAGCAGCTCTCTGATTGAGTGCCCTCCTCAGAACCATAGCAACAAAGGCAGGTGCTAGCTCTATGAGGGAGTGACCATGGAGCCAATAATCAGTCCAAAACAGTGTGTTATGATACTTGAGAAGTGAACAATGCTGAAGTGTTGGCATGAATAGGTAACTGCAGTCCCGCTTACGGTCAACCAGGTTGCATTTTTTGGAGCCACAACCAGCGCATCCATAGACCCCATTGAAGATTTACAAGATTATGAATACCAACCCTCCGAGCTCGCTTGGCATACCTTTTTTTCCCAGGCAACAAGGTGGATACCTCCGTTAATCTCCCTTTGAAAAAAAAAAGAATCTTGTCAATAGCCAGAGTAACCACATAGGGACACCAATTGCGATCAGTGGATAGACAGGGAAGGTGGTGGGGAAAACCTGAACCAATAGACCAGGGTGCTCATACTTGCTATGTCTGTTCAATCTGCTATACCCATCACCTCTTTCCTAAATCTCATTTACGCCTTGTTTAATGTGGCACTTACATTTGTTCAAATGAGAGTCTAGACTAGAGGATACTTAAAGCGTTCTGCTGAAGATTGTCTGAAGGTCCTCACAACATCATTACAGGTTTAGCTGACTTGTTCACAAAGATCTACTTGGATCTTACTGATTTGTGTATGATTCTTTCGGTTTCCATGAGGACACTGCATGCATTATCCTCCCCTTCCATCCTTGTAGCAGCCATCTGCTATCTTCGTCGATGACAAAGTCTTCATGATAATGCTTGTTTTTTTCATCTATTGATCTCTTCAGGATTGCTTTATTAACAGGAAGTTGCTTGAACCCAGCCTTGAGACATCTCACTTGCCACTGTTTGTAAGTCTCTGGCCTCTCAATCCTTTCTGCACCCTCACACGCTACAACGTTAAGTGCACTTGCCCCAAGCAGATCCCTTTCTATCTGTATCCTATCTTCGTCACTCTGGAGAGCAGTTGCATCGAGCATGTCAAACAGCGCAGAATAATGGAACAAAACCTCTCTGAATCGTGGCAGGAAGAATGGGGAGCTGTACATGCCATTCGCAATGCCAAGAATGAGAACCTCTGGGTTGATCCTCTTCATGGTACACAGTACCCTATCTCTTGCACTATCTATGTCTTCTGTCTCATCACCAAGATATTTTGTTCTGTACATGCAGTTGACTATAAGCACCTCATCATTGTCAATATTGAGATTCTCGATGCAGATATCTTCCCATTGTGAGGCAATCCCTTGGTACTCAAAAGGCACATTGAACAATTTCTGCATACTCAGCCAAGCGTTTTCCTGTCGCCTCAATTATTGCACGGGGGCGAAAACCTGGCTGAGGTACATCTATTCCTGTGATACGAAGCTTTGGGGGGCCACCTTCTTGCTTCGCAAAGCGCTGGATTAATGATGGCCACTGAAAGCCGAGTGTGATGCCAAAATCAATGATATGCACCTTTGGTCGTCCGTTCAATAGGTCAGCAATTGTTTGGTTGGAGAAGTAGTATGCCACCCTAGCAAAAGGGCACACTGCATTGAAAAGGCGGTAGGCCTTTAACATGTCTGTGGCCCTTGTTCGTTTCTCCATCAGTTTCTGATACATTTGACTCCCTGTCCCGGCCAAGCGTGCCTCAAGACCAATTGCAAAGTAAAGTGCCAGCCTCTGAGAGCCATCTCCATATGGTGAATCGTGATGCCTTATCTTCTTCAGTAGCTCACTGGCAAATGGAAGGTTGTTTACTACTATTGCTTGTGCACACTGCATGAGATGAGCCCTGAGGTCAATCCCCTCCTCTTTCTTCTTACCTTGTGACTTCATCTGCCCTTGGCCATATCCTTTTCTCCGAACATTCTGTGAACTGCTGTTTGCTTCTTTTGCCTTAATTTCTCTAAGATGAGCAACATCAAATGGAACTGCCAATCACAGAGCAGAACACTGTCAAACATTTCATCCCGGGTTGTTTCACTTACCGAGATGGCCAAATGCTTACTGTTCCTTGCTTCCAAAAACTCCAAGTCCACATGTGGATGACTCTGTATTTTGCTTACATGCTTGCCCTTTTGTCCAATTGTTGCCTTTATCATTTGATTGGAATCAGGAAGGCCATTACTGTCCAGATCAACCAATTTCACAATACTGGGGACAAACTTATTTGCTTCCTCAGCACCTCTCTCAAATTGCAAAGACAAATGGTCACATTCAGAAGCCCCGTCATTGGCTACCAGGTGCATACCTTGTGGCCCAAGAATATCAGTGAAAAAACTACCACTGCATGCCTGTTCACTATAATTGTCTTGGGGACAATCTACTTGGGTATCTCTACTGATCATTGTCTCCTTAGGTGAAGATGGGTATGCTTGTCCAAGAATATCGTAAAATGGCTTCTCCATGGCCTGAAGTGCATCATGTCGTTGGTATATGCTGGCCTTCTCATCAGTGCCCTCCTCCATTAACAGTCGGTTTATGTAGTCGAGAGTCGTATTTGAGTTTATCTCGCAATACTCAGGACTTTCCATCGTGCTAGAGCTCCACTAGATCTAGCTGTTCTTGAAAAGTTTATGATCTACAAAAGATAGACCCCACCTTTCACTTTTATTTCTTGGCCATGTGTTGAGGGATTTGCCTTCCAAAACATGGTTGCCGAAAATGTATTATCACAACTAAGATGTCCTGTTTATTAGCTGCAGAGAAAAAAAGGATAAAAGTGGTCAGCATGCTGCTAGTTCTTCTGTCAACGGAACAGTGAAAGTCCTGCTCACTCATTAGCTAGCTTGAAACTTTGTGCCTCACAGCTTTTGTCCTCTTCTACTCAAATTTGTGTCGTCCCTACTTCTAATATACAATGCCATGATTTTTTTTTATTTGTGCCCCTTAAGAAGTTGATTAATTTTTTTCTCGAACACGCAAGAGAGTTGCTCATCATTTCGTTAAGAGAGAGAGAAAAATAGTACAAAGGAGGGAGAAGAATCCCCCTCCCCAAGGGAAAAAAACTAGACCAGAGCAACTAGCCTTCGACATCTGACAAGACCTGTGACTATGGGACACAAGGCCAAAGAAACTAATCTAGTACAGGCAAAGCGACAAAGAGCACCAACAAAAACTTAGCAAAAATCAAACCACAATAAACGACCCAGCTACAAACTATAAATTTGGTTATCATGAAATTCCTCTTGCGCAACAATCCCAGAAGTAATCCCAAAGTTCACCGGCAGGTGGCAGCTACATGTCGTTTGCAAGACCAACTAATCAGGAAAAGGAAAACTTCATCTTTTGCATGAAACGTACAATAATTCTTCTAAAAGTTGTAGTGATCTTGTTTTATCCGCATAATGTAATGCTTGTAATTGTAAAGTCATAGCTTTGGCAAGCATAAGCTTGGAACTCTGGAAAAGCATCTCCTGTTGAGAAAAAATGTTGATGCGTCAAAATTTAGCGGATGAAATTTGAAGTTGCGTAGGAATATAAAGTTCAAACAGACTGTACTCGAAAAAGATGCAATTATAAATAGCACTTCTGCTTAGTCGATTGATGTGAATAGCAGAAAATTACCTAATGAAGAACCTGATTAGCTTTCTTCAATCTCTCTTAGCCCTAGTGGATGGTGAAGGAAGGTTAAAACCCATGAAATGAACTTGCTTTACAGACATGGAGAGTATTGGTTGTTGTCTGGTGCTTAAGAAAGAGGCTGGGATGTCTTGTCGTGATGCTGATGATTGGTGCTGCTTTTGGACTTTGCTTCTTGTCATCTTTTTCTCAACATGTTTCTGTGGATGGGTTACATTTCTTGTAAGCATCTTCTTGGCTTTCTGATTTATTAAAAATATGATTGTGGCATGAAGCTAACAGAGTTTTCCATATGTCTTGTAGATACATTTCCTCTGTCACAAACTAGGCAACATTGTTATTCAGCCAGAATGGGCTATTTGTTTTTAAAAATTTTGCCCAGATGCCTCGGAACAATCATACTTTCAACAATCAATCACTGCATAATAACATCAATAAATTCAGTAGGAGCCTCAGGAAAACAATATAGAATCCCAAATCATACTGGTAGTACAATATAAGCAAGAAGGAAATTCACAAACGACTAAAAACTTGCTAGAAATTCTGAAATTTTGAATACAATTTTCTTTTTTTTAGAAGTATTTCAAATTAATATTGATTCTAGATTCTTTTATTTAAAAAGGTTCATGACTGTGCTCTTGTTTTCTTCCAACCCGAAACTAGAAGTCATTTTAGGACCACATTTGTCAACGTTTTGTTCGACCATCAGTTTACAATGAATTATACAAACTGACAACAAACTACTGATCCTACAGATTCATCATGAAGAAAATATTATATTACGAGTAAATAGACCAGCTCCCCTAGGCTTATTCTCCATGATTCACATTGTTGGTTCACATTCATTTATCTCCTGAACACACATAACAAATAGAATGTGATCCAGCATATGTTGTTTCATTGGGCAGTCAGAGGCAACTCAGGCAATAAATGTCAGGAGGTACTCAAATATCTCTAGTTGTAGATTGTTGAGGAATGGGTCAGGGGTGAGGAGGATTCTTCTATGGGATGTGTCGATCCAGGATACTGCAGTACACCTCAATGCATGACCGGAGCAGCTCAAATACCTTGGCCCAGCCAGACGAGTAAGTTGCACGGGACGGCGCTCCTGCGCGGCATTCTGTCGGTCGAACACCCGCCGCGCGAGGCCTGGTTCCCGCCACGACGAACGGAGATGGTGCCGCCCTCGCCTCCCCGCGCAACCGCGCAGGAAGCCGCCCGCAAGTGTCGGCGAGTAGGGTAAGGAAGGGATCGGAGGAGGCCGCGGCGGCCTTGAGGATGACCAACTAAGATCCGGAGCGTTGGGACGTCGGCGAGGAGCCCTTGGGCGGCGGACATGGTGGAGAATGCGGTTGCGGATGCGGCGGGTCGCACAGGCTGGCAACTTTGAGCTCCGGTGGCGGTGGGGACGGGGGAATGTCGAGCTCCGATGGCGGGCGGCAGGTGCGGGAAGAAGAGAGGCCGAGAGGGTGAAAAGCTGGATCCCTGTCCCTGAGGCCGGAGGCCCATCAATTTCATCCCTGTACGGGCCACGGTGGATGTCGTTTGACCGATTATGGGCTTAAGCCCAACCAACTTTGGGGTTCGTTGTGCGGAAGAAGCCTGTGGGCCCAACTCACTCCATTTCTAAATTGAAAGTGTTATATAAATTTTTTGAGGCATATGAATTTTGTTTATAACAATTAGATATAACAAGTTATGTCCAGATATATAATGAAAGTTATATATATCTATAAAAGCTAAAACAATTTATAATCGATGTGGGCGTTCGATTCGCGGCCGGACGTCGGACGCTACGTGGTCCCGTGTTGTTCACGTGTTATACCCATCACACAAATACCTCATACTCCCGTTAGGTGGCCACTTAAACTTATTCTCTTCGATTCCATCTTGTATTTCTCTCTTCCGTCTCTCCATTCAAAGCAGCAGGGAGAGGAAGGATATCATGAAGCTTGTGCATCTCCTCCATGTCTCGAACTCACGCAGCCACCCGCCTTGCGCGAGTCATGGCCATACCCCACCCACTCTCTGCGCGTAGCTGGCAAGCTTTGCGCGCGCTACCGCGCGGAGAGCCTCATGTTGCTGATGAGCTCCGCGCCGTCGACATCCATACGTCATCGCTGAGCTCTGCGCGCGCTGCCCAGCGAGCCGCATGTTGCCGGCGAGCTCTGCGTCGTTGAGATCCACGCCGCCGATGAGCTCCGCTACTGGCGACCTTCATGGCATTGAGCTTCGTGCCGACGTCAAGCTTCGTGTCGACGAGCCTCGATTTGCCCAAGCAGCAAGAAGATGTTACGCTGAAAGCGTATGTTTCAAGTGTTTCATATGCATGTTGCAAGTGTTTCATGTGGATGTTATATATGTTGACATGGCTATACACGTACGTTGCAAGTGTATTGTTCCAAATGTTTCAGCTGTTTTCAGTCGTATGTTGCAAGTATTTTATCTGGATGTTGCATATGTTTCACACATATGTTGCAAGTAATTCATCTAGATGTTGCATATATTCCATATATATTGCAAGTGTTTCATCTGGATGTTACATATGTTTTGGAATGACTATACACATGTTTTTCTAGTATTTCAGATGTATATTGCAAGTGTTTCAACAGTTTTGGACATATGTTGCAAGTGTTTCATCTAGATGTTGCAAAATAGAACTGGTGTTACAGTGGGACTCATCTGCTGCAGCCACCTGATGTAGCTATTAGGCCTGCGTGCATGCGTGTGGGTGTGGGGCGCGAGCGATAGACAAGGGAAACAGTGCATGCGCTAGATTGAGACACGGCCCCACGTGGGCGCAGCGCAATTGTGGGAAACGAGCGTCGTGGGTCCCCACGTGAAGCAGGCATAGGCGTGCGTGTGGGCGCTTGGGTAGGCATGGGGCGACTGGACGCTAGCCCCCATCCGGACATCCGAGAGCTAGCCTGACCCATTTATATTTTTTTTTGAGACCCAGTTACAGACGCATACACTCACATATATGAGCGCATACTCACCCCTATGAACGCACACACGTACACCCTACCCCTTTAAGCATCTCTAAAGAACTGAGTTGGACCGGCAAATCTCGAGATTGACGTAGTCACCACACGCATCTCGCTGTCAAGTGGCACATCGTCTACCATTGACGGTCACTAACACCAATTATAAACCGTCAACATAACCTGTATTTATATTTAATTCCATCACCAAACATAGGTATAGGGGTTTAAACTAATGAATTCCACGAGCTTTGGTGATTTAATGATTGCAGGAGGATTTATCCAGAAAACAGCTCCCGGGACCACTATCATACACTCCAAACAAGTAAATTGACGACAACAAGTGATTCAACCCACGAAAACTACGAAAGACAACTCTAGAAGATTCTAGAAGACACCATGCCGAAAGTGGGCTGGCCTACCCAGCCCATAGGCCAGCCGGCCTGCCACGGAGCCCGCTCACCCTCCGCTGCCTTGTACTCATTCCTAAGATCTACACCGTTGATTTTAAGGTGGTTTTAAGTCGGTTTATCCAATGGTGATCGAGGGAGTTGACGTGGATCGATGACGTGGATCATGAATTCCACTCCTATCCACTTATATGCTGCACCTACGAGCATGCACTTAAAGCCACTAGAATCTTCAAAGCCCATCCTAACACCTGTCTATGAGCTACGCCCATGTTTTATAAAATTGATTCGGGAGCAATCCTTCTCGGGAGAAGGCAATGAAAACCCATACTCACATCTATTGGAGTCTGCACAGACCTGTGCATGCCTGTGTATCACTGACATGTCTGACGACACCTTAAGATGGAAGTTGTTTTCGTTCTCTTTGATGGGAAGAGCTAAACAATGGTACAATCAAACCGTAGGAAGTATGTAAGGAGATTGGGAAATGTTATGATCTAAATTTTATTTATGTTTCTTTCCCATCTCTAAGGTGGTTAGCCTTTGGAAAGAGGTTCT